ATGTCTGAGCATAGAACTAAATGATGAGGAGCCAGTCACTGGAACATTTGGAGAAAGTGCATCATGGGCATAGGGAACAGCACCAGACTTGAAGGGGAGATGCCTGGAGTGTTATTTGAAAGACTATAAGAAGGCCAGAGTAGTGGGAGTGCAGTTTCTGAGAAAGATAGAACATCAAATCAGAGAGAGACGCTGGGGAGGAAACAAGCATGGGTCAGATCATGTAAGACCAGATTCTAAGTGCAATGGAAAGCTATCAGAAGGATTTAAGCAGAAGACTGTAGTGATCTGATTTACACTTTAAAAAGATACCAATAGGAAACAGTAGCCCAAAAATACACCCATGCATATACAGTTAACTAATATTTTACAAAGGAGCCAAGAATAGTTGATGGGGAAAGATACTCTGTTCAATAAATGGTGCTGGGAAAATTAGATATTCACACATAAAAGAATGAAATTGGACGCATATCTTAATACCGCTGACAAACACTAACTTGATATAGAGTCGACTTCAATGTAAGACATGAAACTGTAAAACTCCTAGAAGAAAACAAAGGGGAAAATCCCCAAACATTGGTTTTGATAATGATTTTTTTGGATATGGCATCAAAAGCAAAGGCAATAAATAAGCAATGGGACTATGTCAAAGTATAAAAGCTTCTACACAGCAAAAGAAACAGCAGAATGAAAAGGCAACCTAGGGAATGGGAGAAAATATTTGCAAACCACATCTGAAAAGAGATTAACATCCAAAATATATAAGGAACCCATACAATTCAATAGCAAAAAAACCCCCAAATAATCTGATTTAAAAATTGGCAGAGGATCTTAATAGATTTTTTTTTTCAAAGAAGACTTATAAATGCTCAACAGGTACATGAAAAGATGCTCAACATTACTAATCAGCAGGGAAACGAAAATCATAAGCACAATGAGAAATCACCTTACACCTATTACAACGACTAGTATCAAAAAGAGAAGAGATAACAAATGTTGGCAAGGGAGTTGGGAAGAGGGAACATTATTAATGCGCCATTGATAGGAATGTAGATGAGTACAGCCACTGTAGAAAACAGCATGGAGTTTACTCAGGAAATTAAAAAACTATTATACAATCCAGCAATCCCACTTCTGGTTATACAACTGAAAGAAACTAAGTCACTGTATTGAGGAGACATGTGCACCCCCACATTCACTGCAGTGTATTGACCATAGCCAAGACATGGAAACAACCTAAGTGTTCATTGACAGAACGGATAAAGAAAATGTGGGAGATGTATATTCAGCTTTGAGAAAGATGGAAATCCTGCATTTGTGACAACATGGATGGACCTTGAGGACATTAGACATTATACTAAGTAAAATAAGTCAGATAGAAAAAGACAAAACCTGTATCTCACCTCTATGTGTACTTTATGAAAGAAGGGGGGATGAAGTCAAACTCACAGAAACACAGTAGTATGGTAATTGCCAAGGATAAGAAAATAGGAAAATGGGGAGTTGTTGGTCAAAGGGTACAAACTTCCAGTTATAAGACCACAAAGTTCTGGGGATCTAATGCACAGTACAGTGACTATAATTAACAGTGTTGTATTATATACTTGAAAGTTGCTAAGAAAGAGTAGTTCTCAAATATTCTCACCACACACACATACACACAATTGTAATTATGTGATCGATATGTTAACCAACCTTATTTGGTAACCACTCCGCAATTTACACATGTATCAGCTTATCATGTTGTACACCTTAAATCTGCACAATGTTATATGTCAGTTGTTTTTTGTAAAGCCAGAAAAGACAAGAGCATCTTGGCTGCCATGTGGAGCGTGGACTCTGGATACAGTAGCAGCATTTAGAAGCTAACGGCTGGGAGGCCCACCAGTATCTCGTACTGATGAGATTATGGTGGACGGAGATGAGGAATTCATGTTCAGGATAGCGTTAGAACGCAAATGGCTATGTTCCTTCCGATGCCAAGTTTGTCCTTTCGGGTCTAAATTCTGTACTTCCTTCTTAGAAGGGGGAATTTTCCCTTTTTTAAAGCTCATTATAAATGTGTCATTTATAAATAATGGCAAATTTTGAAGTAACCTAAAAGAAGGTTGGTTTCTTTTCAAAGTCTAATACTCATGCTGCTAAGAGAAGATAAATTTACTTTTTATCTGGACCCACTTAATGAAATCCTCTGTCCTTGGTGCCTATTAAGGTTTCTAACTAGACAGGGAAGAAATGAACAGTTCTTTGTGCAACATTTGTCTAGGTGCATGGGCATGAAGGCCCTTTATGCTTAAAAATGCTTAACAAAACATTTTTACCATATATCTATGCAAGAAAATAAAGTAAATTGAAGTCACAGAACTTAGTAAGTGTAGAGGTAAAATCTAAATTGCTAAGAATACTTCAAAGGATATCCTTGTAGAACCTTCCACCAGTACTCTGCTTTATGTCTTTCCTGCTTTACTTTTAACTTTCTTCTGGACCCTGTTTCATTCAAGCCAGCTACAATGATATGAAAGACCACCACACAGCGCCTCCTTAGAAGTGTGCTCTGGAGGTCCTGCTTTGCATGAACTTGGCTACATGATAATGGAGCGCATTATTTATCTCTCTGAGAATTGGTTTTCTAATCATTAAAATGAAGACACTGCATGAGATAATACTAAAATTCTTTCCAGTTCCAAGATTTTAAGATTGTCCCTTTTCTGATTTTCACACATGATCAACATAATCCACCACTTACTTCATTACCATTATTGTGCTGGTGAGTCTCGGATCTCTATCCCAAGTACAGGTCTCTCTCATGCGGCCCATTCCCATATAGCCAACGGTGTCCTGGACATCACTAGCTGGATATTGCATGGGCACCTCAAACACGCTGTACCCAACATGACTCATTAATTTTCCCCAATAACTTCTTTTCCAGTATATGTTCCTCACATTTGTCTAGACATCTATCTTTCTTTGAGTCTTCTACCCCACCTTTCTTGGAAGTAGCCATCTACTTACTCATCTCCTTACCTGAGTCTACAAGACTCAGCTCAAGAGTCACGTTCTTGCGTGAAATATTTCAAGCCCACTTCCTCTCAGGTAAATTTTCTACTGCCTTCCTTAATGTCTCTATTAAACTAGTATTACAGCACACACATAAGTTTATTGCAGGAGCTCTTTACCTGGTTGTAAATATGTTTACATTTTGAACTCCTGGAGGTCAGGTATAGTTTCTCAGTTCCTCACGATTCTGCCCTCAGCTCGGAATGTATCACATAGTTGGTGATGAGCAAATACTGAATTGAATGAGTGAAAATGAAAATTCTATGATGTGAGGATTGCTCAGGTTATTCTTGTACCTGGCATAGGTCCTCCCCCCAACAGTTCCTTCACAACATGGAGAAGCCATTGGCTCTCTTGCCCAGTTTCACCTGTTCACCTGCTTATGAAGACTCATATCAGTACCAACCTGCATTTGTTTGCACCCATCCTTTTGCTGTGGGAATTCACCTTTCAGAGTGCAGAGACCAATTTTCTCTTTCTTTTTTATCTTTCCTGAGGAGAGACAAGAATAATGATGCCTTGCCAGTTTTTAATAGATGTTCATTCATTTAACCCCACATTTGACTTAGTTCTTTCTTGGTAAACAACTAAATTTTTTTAACACAGACATTTATATATAATCCAGTCTCATCATGAGCAATTAACAAATGCACTTGCAGCTCCTCAAAATGTTAATGAAATTTAGACCTGCTACTTAGCTTCATTCAGTGAGTATACTTGGGTAAATAAGCTGCCAGATTTGAGTATCTGAATTTTTCTCAGCATCATCTTAAAATACACCCTACTCTCTGGCCTGGCTAGAAGACCTTAACCAAGTTGACTGATGTTAGCAGGGTCAAGAAACCATCTGTGATGTGTAAAAATGGTAGAATCAGCTCTTCTTCCCATTATGTTTTTTAAAGTTACTGGTGCTAGAGTAATTGACAAGAAAGTCACACAAATTGGAGACACATTTTCCTTTTAAGAGCAGTTCCTTTCTCGGGCGCCTGGGTGGCTCAGTTGTTTAAGCGACTGCCTTCGGCTCAGGTCATGATCCCGGAGTCCCGGGATCGAGTCCCGGGATCGAGTCCCGCATCGGGCTCCCTGCTCGGCGGAGAGTCTGCCTCTCCCCCTGACCTTCTTCCCTCTCGTGCTCTCTCTCTACCATTCTCTCTCTCTCAATAAATAAATAAAAATCTATTAAAAAAAAGAGAGAGAAGTTCCTTTCTCTGAGATCCATTGCTACCACAAATCCTTCAAGGCTTCTCTGAGATAATTTTCTCGGGTTTGCCTTTTATCTTGTTCTTTGGGGAATACTTTGTCACTCTGCGGCCATCTCCTTCCCCCTGCCCTTCTTCCTGGCGTTTCCTGAGAGAGTCAGGAATAGCCCTTTGCCAGTGAATTTATCTTTGAAAAGATCACTGATATTATAGACCAGCTCAAGAGGCAGGACTGAACATGATACAGAACCTAGTTCAAACCAAATAAACATCAACCTGGATAATGGCTATTATTACTCTTTATTAAGGACCTTATTAACTGCTAGTTATAATTATATAATTAGTGCATTCAGTTCTCAAAACTACCCTCTAATTTAAGCATCCCATACCATCCCATACAGATGAGGAAGAGAAGGATTGCAGAGGCTAGGTAGATTGCCTGAGGTCATGCAGCCGGCGGATGGACAACTTAAAATTTGAACTCTTGTCTGCACATTTTCCACTTCACACTTAAGAGTAAATGTGAATATATCCCTTATGTCCGTAAGTGTCCGTGTCTTGAATGAGAAGGGTTCTTGAGGAGAGGTGCTGAAGACAAATGGTGGACTGTCCGGCAAGAATGTAGCCCTTACATCTGTTGTCTTTAGTTGAAAGAAGATTCTGAGGGCTGAGATATTCAAACTGTGCACGTAATAAATTTCACAGAGGTTTGATTGACCCACATGAATGTTTCTTGCCTTCTAGGATGATTTCCAACCCGCAGCAGACTCAGAGACCAACTGGGAGTCAGTCACAAGCTCTGTCTCAGTAAGTAATTTGTTTTTCTGTTGCCAGTGAAAAAAGCTGATGGAGAAGAGGTAAGGCCAACCCCAGAACAGTGTGAGCTGCATGAAGGACCTGGGGCTTCACCAGAAGCCGCGTTGCAATCATGATGTGTCCTTCCATTTCATTTATGGTTTCAGCGGGCTGTGTCGCATGCCCTTTTCCCCCTCTCTTCAAAAAGCCTTTCAGGAAATGCCAGTACCCATTGTAGGAACACGGGCTAGACAATGACTTCAGTATTTATCAGTTTCAAAGTAGAATGTTCCAACTAGACGACTGTCCAGACATTTCAAACGTATCAAACTGGTCCATGGCCCAAGCTCAAGTGGGGTGTTTTGAAATAGTGTTTTGAATATTCCAGGGAAAGCCGTTAACCTTTGTGTTTTCAAGGATCTTTTCAGATGTGAAAAATCCCAGTGTTTACAGTAAGATAACTTAAGTGCAAACCAGGCGTGTGTTCTACTTGACTTAGAAATAAAACATAACTCACCCTGAAACTGTAAAATGGCTCGTGCCCCCCATTTTTTTCCTCCAAATTTAGTCATTCCTCGGTATTCTACCTCTCCTTGTTCAGAAAGAACAGGCCTTGTTTTCACCAGTCCTATGAGTAGCACGTACGTAGCAACAAAAGACAAGATGATAAATGCTGGTGTTTATTAGAAGGTCAAGAGCATATGGAGAAAGCTTGCCCATGGGGCTGAGTCAGAGTTGATGTTTTTTTTTCAAGTGATACTCCATCCTTTGCTCTCTGGGGGATTTTTAAAGAAATACCTTCGGATGGCAGGGTTTCCTTAGCTGTGGGCTCTGTGACTATTTAATTCACCTGGTGTGTCCGCTGGACTAGAACAACATGGCCTACTCAAGAGGTCAGTGGGGTTTCTAATGGTGATATTCAGAGTGTTTAATTTGTTCTTGACAACCCTGAATGCACGCTCTGAACCTCTCTAAGTGCAGGCAGTCACTGTGAGGCAGGTGAAGTCTTCGCTCTGGGAGGCCAGGCGGAGGCTTGGCGGGTTAGCAGCCTGAGGCCGACGATCCACGGTGTAACAGCTTCTGCCGCCAGGCGCTGGTGTGCTGTTCTGTGGAATCCTCCGGCTTCTCAAGCATCTTCTAGTGATGGCTCAGAGGGGCTGAGTCATTCACGCCCCAGGTGCAGAAATTACAAGCTTGAGGGACGCCTAGCGAGTGCAGGATGACGCAGGTCCTCTTAAGGAAAAGGACTGACCATCCGTTTGGAGCATCAGCAGAAGCTCAGCACTGGGTCCGTATGCACCGGACACTTTTCTGGTTGGAGCTCCAAAGCCAGGTTCTGCTTCGTCCTCTGGAACTAGCAGGGAAACAGCCTCTTTCCTCAGCTGGTGGTTTTCAGGATCCCTCTGGAATAGTAGTAAGGACCCTTGGACCCACCATTAACTCTGTATAAACCATATTTTGTTTTTGTGGAAAGTGGTTTCTAGTTTTCTGAGCATTATTTTTCTTTTAAAAATTGTTAATTTAAAGCCATTCAGTTAGCTTTAGAATGGATTTTTATAAATACATAACAAAAGCTGAATGAGATAGGATCTACAGTGGTGTGGAAAAGGGCACACCCAGTTAGTTCTTTCTCACAAAAATAGTTTTCAAATAATTACCCCAGAAATAAACATGTTCTGGTGAGTTTTTTAGGTCCTCTAATCACCCATGAGTATTTTCTTAACTATCTCACTTAAGGACAGTTTTACATTTTACTTGTGGTTTGTTTGGATTTGCTCTGCAGGCAAATGTCAGAGGGATTAGATTTCTGGCTCCCCCTCAGGCATGGAGAGCCCCTCACGGTTTGCTCCTGGAGAGATGTGTAGGTAGACACTAAGCTCTAGGTCCTGTGAGGAGCCACCCCAGGAAACTTTCTGCCAAGGGCTCCCCAGAGCCCCTGACAGAGGCCTCCACTTGCATGAAAATGGCTTCGTGTTGTTTCCAAACACAGGGAAGCAGTTTAACTTCAAAGCTTTTACAGAGATGCTGTGCACCTAACTTCGGGCAGCTCTTTTTGAATTTTTGGATCTCAGACCCACATCTTTGGGATGGAGTTGTAAAACATCTGGTGACGATGAGCCAGGTGGACTGTACATTATCCAGATAATACAAAGTTGAATGGGAATTTGAAATTTTGAGACTGAGTCATGATATCTGACTCCAGCACGTGATGCCAAGAAGGATGTGAAAGACAGAAATGATGTGCCTCGGTCAGGGTTGGGTTTATATGAGACACGCACGTGCACGTGTGTACCCCTGGATTCGGGAGCTGGCCCGCTGTCTTCAGTCTAGCTCACATCTCCCAGCCTGTTCCCCACTCCCTTTCCCCTACCAGGCATATTTGAAAACTGCCTTTAAGGTACATGAGTGTGGGTTAATGCTTTTGCAAAATGCCTTCGTTTGCTAAAGAGGGACCACCATTCCTCTGAAAGCAGGTGGGCATCCATTCCCTGGCTTCCGGACCTTTGGACCTTGATGGGTTAAAAAGAGAGACCCTAAGCTGAAAGTGAGACCATGAAATGTGGGTTCTGCTGTCTGAAACCCTGTGGCACATAGTAGTTCTTGTTATAGGATGCTGCATGAAGTTTCAGGAACGCGAGTGCTTGTTAATTCCCACGTTCCCATTCCCGGAGGGATAGGAGATATTTGCCCTTGAGGGATCTTGTTTGGCAGTTTCTTGAAAGACATTTTGAAACCATTTGCGACTGTGCTATTTCCTTGTTAATGGGTCATGAATTTTTACAGAGATGTTTGAATCATGGCTCATTTGCCTCTAGATTATCCAAGGGTTAGTGAAGTAAGTGCTTGGGAACTTATGTGGGGACATAGTCCACATAATCCCTCCCAGGTTTTCAGTGGTGTTGCATTCCCCATTTAAAGAGTATTTCTGAGAATATTTTAATGACAGCTGGGATCACCAGCAAGCAACAGCACTTTAAAAATACATATATATGCTTCCCATTGGGATCTCCCAGTCTTGGTCGAGAGAGCAAGTTTCATGACTAATTATTCTTGTTGATAACCAGTAAATAAGCTGGTGAAAGTGCCAAATTTTATCATATTCTCTCCAGAGGAGATTCAAACCCTGCTCACACAACACCTGCAATGCAAGGTGACCCATGAAGAGGAAACGTGGAAGCTAAATATGGGAGGAGAGAATGGATTATGAAAGCAGTTCAGAATTTAAATTCTCATCATTATTTGTTGATGGAGATGTGGATGACTTGGGAGCTCGAACCAAGACAGGGGATGATGTAATTTTGATATTGCCATTTAGTCAGTGTCGTCTTTAATGATTATATCTCAGATGAACTGGAAGTTTTATGATCTGCCTGGTTTTGATTTGCAGAAATGTGAATGACTATCATTTACCAATTAATTGCTCTTATTTAAGAATATGGCAGGACTATAGCAGAGGACTTGAGCATGATATTTATGCATAGAATGTCTTACCATCAGAAGCCTGTTTATGTTCCTTCCATACAGTTGTATGACTATTGTATTTCATAGCAATGGACTTTTTCTGAGTACACTGAGCTGTATGTCACTCTTAGGGGGTACCCTATCACTCTCCATCAGTAACGGACCCCACCCTCACTGCGGATGCTCTGGACAAAACAGTCGCAGAATTTGATACCGTGGAAGATCTGCTCAAGCACTTCAATCCAGAATCATGGCAAGAAGATCTTGAGAATCTATATTTGGAAACCCCCCATTATCGAGGCAGGTCCTACCATGATAGGAAGTCAAAAGGTAAGAAACAGAGCCTTGGAGGTTCTTCACAAACAGATAAGACCACTGATAGTTATTCTCAGTAAGGACAAAAATGCAATATATTTAATTCACTAAAATCAGAGGATTACTGCCAGTCTTTTTTATTTTATTTTATTATGGTATGTTAATCACCATACATTACATCATTAGTTTCTGATGTAGTGTTCCATGATTCATTGTTTTTGTATAACACCCAGTGCTCCACGCAGAACGTGCCCTCTTTAATACCCATCACCAGGCTAACCCATCCCCCCACCCCCCTCCCCTCTAGAACCTCAGTTTGTTTCTCAGAGTCCATCGTCTCTTCATGGTTTATCTCCCCCTCTGATTTCCCCCCCCTTCATTTTTCCCCTCCTACTATCTTCTTTTTTTTTTTTAACATATAATGTGTGATTTGTTTCAGAGGTACAGATCTGTGATTCAACAGTCTTGCACAATTCACAGCGCTCACCGTAGCACATACCCTCCCCAATGTCTATCACCCAGCCACCCCATCCCTCCCACCCCCCACCACTCCAGCAACCCTCAGTTTGTTTCCTGAGATTAAGAGTCTCTTATTGTTTGTCTCCTTCTCTGGTTTTGTCTTGTTTCATTTTTCCCTCCCTTCCCCTATGATCCTCTGTCTTCTTTCTCAGATTCCTCATATCAATGAGGTCATATGATACATGTCTTTCTCTGATTGACTTATTTCACTCAGCATAACACCCTCCAGTTCCATCCACGTCGTTCCCAATGGCAAGATCTCATTCCTTTGATGGCTGCATAATATTCCATTGTGTATATATACCACTTCTTCTTTATCCATTCATCTGTCGATGGACATCTTGGCTCTTTCCACAGTTTGGCTATTGTGGACATTGCTGCTATGAACATTGGGGTGCAGGTGCCCCTTCGGATCGCTACATTTGTATCTTTGGGGTAAATACCCACATTACTGCCAGTCTTATCACACATCTCTCCCACAGCACCTTCAGATGAAGTTCTGTGTTTATCCCAAACTGTGTTGTTTGTATGGGACTGAGAAAGGTTTGGTGCAAAGATGTGTCATAGTTAGGAGCTAGAAGAAACCTTGTAAAATCATGTGGACAGGCTTCTTGCATCTTGGCAAGTAAGGTATTATTAGCCTCCCTGTCAGGGGAAGTAAATACTTTGGTACTAGCTGTGTGGCCAGTGGGCAGTAGAGAGGAGGTGAGCGTCGGGGCCTCTCGCCTCCAGGGGCAGCACCCACATGATGGTCCGCTGTACCTCTCCGATAGATGTGCATGTTGATTTAGCTCAGGACCCGGTGCTGGCAAGATAGGCTCCTGGGAAAGCAGTGGTCAGAACTCTTTAGAAGATTTCACCTCTTCCCATTCAGTGTCTATTCTTAAATGGTTCTATGAGGATCTACTGCGTGCTTGGTGCCCTGGAGCTTCACAGGACATACATGTCCCAGAGAAGAAACAAAGAAGGCCTGGGATGATTTGGAGGTCTGTGTGTGGGCATGCATTCAACTGGGAGTTTCAGGAAAATATCATTAGGGGAGGAGAGAGGAACATTCATGAGAAAACATCTGGGGTCAAAACAATACTGAAAGTTGCAAAAAATAAATACCTTACTTGTACATCTGAGCGATATGATCTGAGATGAAAATGTTTCTTTGCATGTTTAATTCAAAGTAATAGCGAAATATCTTATAATTACCTTTTATTGAATGAAACCATAATTCGTTCTTGCTTTATTTGCTTAAAATCTATCATTAAAATCTTCTCTAAGAGTCTCCTAAGGCTCATTTGCATCATAAACGTGAAGGTATTTAGCTAACATATAGCTTGTTTCCTACATTTTATCATGTCAGGGGTACTTTGAAGAATCGTGACCTTGGCCCACTCTGGTAGGAAATGCTTGTGTCAGGAAGCCTGAGCTGTTGGAGCATTTGGACTGGAAGAACTCATCAGTTAACTCCTGCCTGGGTCTGCTGCTTATGGCCCAGGCCTGGAACCTTATCTACTTAAAACATACAGCTAAGGGGTGGACAAAAAAAAGTCCTAGTGTGTCCCTGACACTATGGAGGTGTGCCCTCGGCAGATCCCTGTAGCTCTCAGAGTCTCCCCGAGGCTCAGGTTGGATTCAGCTCGGGCAAGAAATTGCTTTTCTGTAGCGTTGCTGTCTTTGGGTCTCTACTTACGTCAACTTGAAGGAAAGTAAAAGATTCACAGTGTTTCGAAAACCCCAGAAAAACAGGAAAAATGGGATTGGACCAAAAAAGTAATAAAATCTGACCGTGTCCTCAAGTATGTTCACTACGATAGCTGTTTGAGAGACAGTTCTCCTTGGCATCTATCTTTTGGATTTTTAAGACTTAAAAATCACCTAAATCCATTACTTTCTTTCGCCCAGAGATCATGTTGAGTTGGAGGCAGAGGGTCTGGTTCGAATCCTAACGCTGCCACTTACAAGTGTTGTGAACTTTCAGCAAGTCGCTGATCTTCCTGTGCGTCAGTTCCCTCTGGCAACGTGTGTCTCATGCCTACCTCTGGTAGCTGCCAGCGGAGCCCTCAGGAGAACCTGGCGCGTGGTACTTGTTCAAGAAGCCTTAGCTAGCTCTGGCTACCGAGAATTCTGGAATATGTTTGCGTCACGGTGCTGGGGACGCCCTCCCTGCCCCTCATCCTCTGCCTGTGAAGCCCGCACAGCGTTCTTCCGTCCCTCTGCTGCACTTAATTGCGTCTTGGGGTTTTCTCTAAGGCAGTACGAGAGCCTAGGACGCAAGGGTCCGGTCTCAGCTCCAGCGGAGTGGTGAGTCCGCTGGGCAGCTGTGAGAAGCTGCCGAAGCCTCGTCGCAGACACGCTGACTCAGAACCCCTGAGGGTGGGGCTGAGCTCCTGATGTTATTGCATGGCCGTGGGGGATTGAGATCGACCCTGAGTGGCCGCCACCGTTGAGAGCCTCTGTGTTAGACATTGTGCCTCTGTATCTCGGGCTCTTGGCACAGACTCTGACACATTTTAGGTGCCCCATTAATGTTTGTGGAATTAAAGATATTAATAATCCAGCGTGAGTATCTTTCCAAAGTTTACAGAAACCCACCCCATGAGACTGAGGAATGTAGCTTTACTAAGAATGCCTTTGGTTACCGATAAGACCTTGCAAGAACATTCAAGGTGACGTTCTACTTATTCCTGACAGAGTCAACATTTCTTTCCCTTGTTGGCTTGGGTTCCACTTCTTAATCTCTTGTTTAGAATGGCCCTAAGGCAGATCTGTACTGTTTCATTTAACCCTGGCCAGTCACCACTCTCTCTGCACTTGGATAAATGTGCTGCTTTCACTGTTTATCAAACCACCTGCATGCCTGTCTCACACACAGAGAAGTCCGGTTTAATATCTCAGCTGTCATCGTCAGCTTTTAGAACTTAAAAAGTACAAACTCATGGCTTATGTTCTGGTATAGAAGAAGGGGAGCCGCGGATGGAGAGTGGAGACAGAAACATAGTTACAAATAATGGAGGTCCATTGAATGTCCAATGAAGAGTGAACTTTATAGGATCCCTGAAAATTTTTCTTCTTGGCCTACTCATCAGAAAAAGTAAATGCAACTTGAACTTGAAACAACTTTTTTTTTTTTTTTGGCAAAAACAAACATCAGTTACGGATAGCTATTGAATATCCATTCTTCTGATTTGCCCAGATCAATCGAAGTGGCATTTTTCATGATACCGAAGAGCAGTATTCTAAGATGATTCTTCAATGTGAACGTACAAACACAGAGTTTTATAAACTCCAAAATAAGACACAAACACACTGGGTGAAGAACATTTGTAACGAGGTCGAAATAGTACATATTTAAAATAAAATTGTGTGCTTTGCTTCTAATGTTTGTTTGAAAGCAGATTTGGAGACATTGAGATTCAAGGTCTCTCTAAGAAGAGACTTGTACACGGGAAGCAAGAGGACAGTAAGTTTTGGGGAGAAGAGAGAGAGAAAAGGGACAATAACATTGCACATATTGGAGCCAGAAATTCAGCACACAAGGTCGACTTTTATAAAACTCACAATAGGTAAGCTCAGACTTGTCTATAAAAGCTTCTGGACTGAAGATAATAAAACAAGTTAATGTATCCAATGTTCAGTTTCTTAGGGTGTTTGGAGAAAAGGGTAACATGGATCATCGAAATCTGTACAGAACTGCAATTCCAAAACTCAGTTTTTACCAATAATTTCAACCTCATGCTTTCACCTGAAAGCTGCCTAAAAGTTAAAAAAAAAAAAAGTTGTTTCAAGTTGCATTTACTTTTTCTGATGAGTGTGCTAATGATATAGCACCCTTGCACATAATTAGGTGAAAAGTTACATGGATCTTCTACAAACTATATAATCATCATAGGACCACTGTAGCCTAAGTGAAACCGTACTGTGATTTCTTTAAAACACAGTGCTTTGAATTTAGGGGCAGCCCACCTTTATTCAAGTTCATAGCATGACAGTGGATGTCTTTAAATTAAGAAATGATCAGCCTTATTCTCTACTAGAGTGGGCACTCATTGAGAGGCACATTAACAATGTGAATGAAATCTGTTGTATTTTTTACTTATTCCAGAAGAACTTGACTTTCCCAAACAATAGTGTGTTTGTCATAGAAAAAATCCAACAAATTACAACAAGGGAGAAGCCTGTTTCCACAGCGTCAGTGTTAGCATTAAAATATGGATATAGGGGCGCCTGGTGGCTCAGTCGTTAAGCGTCTGCCTTCGGCTCAGTTCATGGTCCCGGGGTCCTGGAATCGAGCCCCACGTCGGGCTCCCTGCTCAGCGGGAAGCCTGCTTCTCCCTCTCCCACTCCCCCTGCTTGTGTTCCCTCTCTCGCTGTGTCTCTCTCTGTTGAATAAATAAAATCTCTAAAAAAATAAAATAAAATAAAATATGGATATAAATGTTGGAGCATTCCAACCTACTAGTTTTGAACTACAGTTTTACTTACCACAAGTAAATTCTTCCCCA